GTCACGTTCAATGTCACGAGCTGTTATATTTCTGGAAGTTTCTATCGTGCCTATAAAAAGATGCTCGCCTGAACGGCGAGGACTCTGGATTAAACCAGCGAGTAGTGAGGATTGTTTTGACTGGCGATTAGCTCGGCTGTGCTTGTGAATAATCTTTACTTACGTGTATTTTTAAACTCTGGTTATTGTGTGTGTGTTTGATTGCTCGGATATTTACTGTGTGAATATTGCTGCTGGATCCTGCATTTAGAGGATTGAATTTTTGATAATAAATTCGCATCGCTCTTAAAGAACTGTTTATTTTCTTTGTGATTGTTTTGCATAAAATCCCCGAACCCTCGGATCTACGTAACAATATAAATAAAGGATAAAAAAACGTAAAGCTCTGTCTTTTTACTGGTCGTCAAAAAAAATGCTCTTAATAACAGGCTTAAATAACAGGCCGTCATATGGGTGAACCCCTTTGATAGCCTGCGTTTTTTAAGGGTAGTGAACAAGTTATCTAAATGCAGAATGATCTTTGGAAAACTGAATTCACTACCTATTGATCACGATTCTACAAAGGGGGGGGGTCTCATACTGCTAAAAATCTTCACTGCAAAGCTAAATTCATTTCACCTAAAAATTCAAATAATAATTTGTGCTAATTTGTTATTCATAATAACAAAACATAATTCAAAGACCTTGAAATGTTAAAAAAATGCTTTATACTAACTATGTGTTCATTATTTGCAAACAATGAGCAAAGTTTTAAGAGCGAAGCTCTTTCTCCTGTCAGAGAAAAAAGTTCGTCACAGTCATTCCTTCAAGAAAAAAAATTGTTTATCTGTTTCTTCTTAGAAGAAAATTAATATGTTCTTTAAAGCTTTCTTTCTTTAATTATCTCAAGTGGAAAAAAATCTGATGTTTAACAATACGAAATTTTTACATAATTTGCTACGAATTACTTCAAAATCCCGAAGAGAAAAACAATTGCTTTAATTCCTTATTACAAAGCTTTTTTCAATCAAATAGGATATAAAAGCACAGCTAATTTCATTACATCCAATCTCGTACACATATAACAGAACAAGATTTCATTAAAAGAGGATGTTGTATATTTAATTAAATTTACAAACGTTAAAATGGTAAATCGATGCAGAAAAAGATCATTTGAAATTGCTAGTTCATTAGATATACTCAAAATCCTAATTTAGTCAAACAATTTTTTTTGTTGTTGCTTATGATTTAGTCCTTAAAAATTCCTATTCCTTAAGATATGTGTGTTTTTGCTATGTTGGGCTCATGTGGTACAGTAACACCCCGCTTAACGCAGGGTATACGTTCCATCAAAGCAGAGCGTAATATGAAAGAGCGTTAAACGAGGTTATCTCATCATGTAAATAATGGGGTTAGGGAAAGATGGGTAGAAATTTGGTCAGGTATTTTACCATTAAATTTATTAATTATGTTTTTTATAACAATAAAACAAAAATTTATTTCTTACAAATATAAAAACATAAACGAATATGCATATAAAAATAAATAAAATTCTAAGTCAGTATTTTTACATTTCTGATCATTCAGTGTGGTCTGTATTTCCAATTTTCTGCCATTTTATCAAGAAGGTAGATTGGCTTAATGGCATTTTGCGTTCAATTTCGTCGTCAATCCATATAGAAAGTCGTTTTTCCATTTCCTCTATTGCATTATTTCTAGAACGGGTAATTCTAGTTGCAGAGGTTGTCGTAGTTGCATTTACCGATGCCAGAATTTTTTCTTTATTCTTAATAATGGTCCTTATTGTTGAAGTTGCCAAATTCAATGCAGCAACAATTTGAGATTGACGTTCCCCAGTATCTAATCTTCTAATCACTTGCATTTTAGTTTCTAGTGAAATGCTTTTTTTTATGCTTTATTTTCGTGTTTTTTATTATCACCCATGATAAAAACTAAAAATTATATTATATAAATTTATACTTACAATAACGTCAACAAATGTTTGAAACGATAAAAAAACTATTGTATAATACCGCCGGAAAGAAGAAACAAAGATAAACTGCTTCGGATATCGGGAAGCCTAACACTGCGTGCTATTTCGGGAAATCCCACAATTAAAAAAATAAAGAGCGTTAAACCGAAGCAGCGTTAAGCGGGGGCTTACTTTACCTGGCTTACTAGAAAGCAATCTTCACAAGAAATTTTCATTAATACAGTATTTTTCTCAAATGTCCGATTAACATTCAATAAAAAGTGAATTATACTGTGTAGGTTATTAGGTGTGTGGATTTTTAAACCCTTATGTTAAAGGCACTTGAAAATTCAAATAATAATGTAAAATGAATTTATTTTTTATTGTAATTTATAAAACAATTTTATTTACATCAAATCTTAATTCTCTCTTTCAAATGATTGTTATCGAAAAAAATATCGATATTACTGTATTTCACAATCAATGTTAGAAATAATCGAATACGATTCCAATGGGAGTGCACGCGATGCATCTTGTTTGACTGTTCATTAACGTCGCGTTTAGAAAAAGGTTAATGGAAACGATCCTCATACTTTTGAACCACGATCAAGTGACGAGGATGATACCTGAGCTCGGCCTCTCCTCTACAAACTCCCATACCCCACCAACGTGAGAAATTTAAGCGTAGACTGATTGATAGTCCTTCAGCGGCTTCCCCTGCCATACCATATATACTTACGAAAACTTCCAAAAAATATTCGAATTACAGACGCGACATGTATTCGTATCCAATCAATTTATTTGTAATGATGTACAGTGAATGAAATTAAGATTTATGAAATCAATTTAAGAAACAGCTCAGAATGTCGAAAATTACGAATCTTGAAATAAACTTAATCTTTGATAAGGTATTTTGTCTTACTTATAATAAATTTTCATTAAATTATTGATAAAAAAAGGAGTTAATATACATGTTATTGCTATTTATATTTTAATTTAAAGTGCACTAGACTTAAGAGTGCACAATTTAACAAAGGTGTTGTTGGGTTATTAATTTTATGGATTGTACTCGAGATTATGATTTAAATCCAAATTTTATTAATGCGACTTCCGATATGAAGTCTTTCGAATGATCTGAAATATTTTTCTAAAGCATTACAGTTGATACAAAACACATTGCTGCGGCAACCCTATGGGTTGCCATTACTTGTTTACAATTCTAAAATTATCCAAGATATGGCACCAACATGCTAAAGTTTACATGGGCATTAACAGGTGTTTTGATTACAAAAATACCATCACACTATAGAAGACTTCAAATACCTCTTCACGAACGATATTTTTTTTATTCAATTCCTACTATTAACTCACAATCTCTCTATATATCTTGTTTAAATTTTCAATCGTTAATTAAATACATTTTAAAGCGCTCAATTCAGCTGAAATGTAATGTACACGATTATTGTGGATGATAATACGGTAATTTAATTATAATTAATAAAAATTAATTGACTGAAACTAATTATTTAATGAATTACAAATGCAGTCACGTTGGCTTCATTTATAGCGACTTGGGTCAAATATTTGAAAGATTTTTTTTTCTCACTTTTTAAAACATTCAATTAAAGTGAAATTCTACATACACGATTGTTTTGGATAACAATACGATACTTTAATGATAATTAATAAAAATTAATTGCTACATAATATTGTGATTCTGTCATATGTATATACATATTTATATTAATTGTAATTATTTGATAAAAAGTAACTATAAAATAAAAATTTTCTTTGTTGACCTAAGTAGGAATTGACTTAATTTTTTTATATATTACTTCACATTATCACACGAAACGTATTAATTTTTTATGGGAGAATCAATAATTTTGTAAGTGAAAAAAATGTAAGACAATTCTAAACTGTCCAATTATTTGTCAAATCAATTTCATATATTTAAAATTTAAGGATAGTATTTATTCCAGTTTAGTAACTTTTCCTATGAAAAGTAAAGAATCATAACAAAACGATTATTTCATCTACGGATTATTAAATAAAAAAACAATTCACAAACAAATGGTCAGGAATCTGCGGAATTTATATGAACAATTTCTCGCCACAGATAACACTGCATTCCGCGCTTCAGACAAGCCTTTTCCTCGGCCTTTTAAGTTGCGAGAATCTTGAAAAGAATTTCTAGGAAGAGAAACTCTTGGCTAAACGAACATTTAATTTTATTTCGGAACCAAAAATCTGGCAGAGGGATTGCGAATCTATCATTAAGTATTTTCTGAAAATAATGTATCTGCATTGCGTAATACAAAAGCATTTAGCAACACAAATTCCAGCACCCTTCTAGAATTTGTTTTTAAAATAAAACGGAAGCAAATCTAGAGAAAACTCATCTAAACTGAATAATTCCAAATTGAATACCAGTAAGTCAATTAATTTTAGTTATTTTCCCCTACAATAAAAAAGACTGGATATATCAAAAAATCAACTATTTACACTTAAAAAAGGCTCATTGGTTTCAAAATTTAATTAACGAATACGTAGTGTGACAATTAAACAATTGGAATAGTCTTAAAAATAAAATTTATTGAAAGCAAGGTACAAATATCTTTTAACACCCTTCAACACATACTCCTCTTACATATAAATGCATAACTGCATACGAGTTTTCCTCTGTTCAAAATTAGGCGCCACTATCTTCAGTAAGTCTGCCGTTTTTGTGTGCCTCGACCTTTTCTACAGATTGAAAATGTGTTACCATCAATGTATTTTTCAATTTAAGAACTCATACGGTATGAGAGTCTTCCAGTCAGTATGGTGGATATGACATTCGGCTTATAATCGAGTGAGTTCGGGTTTGAATCCCGAGTAAGGCATGGATGTATTTTCTTCGGGAAAAGAAGTCGGACTTTCACGTGTAATGGGTGACCGCGGTAGCCGAGTGGTATAGGTATCGGATCGTGGCATGCCTTATCACGAGTTCAAGCCCAGTACCACTTAAGACCCGCCGTGTACGGCAGCGATGCACGTTAAATCTGTCGAGAGCTGAAATGTCCTCCCGTTGGTGTGGTGTTTAGGAGAGGGGGTGCCAGCTCAGGTGTCATCCACGTCGCTTGACCATGGTTCAAAATAACGTGGTCCGTCGCCAAAAGCCCTCGTGTAGCTGAACAGTGCGACGTTAATATTCAATCAATCAATCAATTCACATGTAATGGATTCCCGACTCGATTGGAAAGCAGCGCACCCTTTCTGTTATATGCTGGGATCATCATTTATAATAAATGTCTATATTCTTCTTATATTGTATGTTTGTATTGTTTGTATCTTCCACTCGTATATCATATGTATCCCAGGATAAAAACACACGACAATAACATATGGAACGAGATCTGGTGAGGATGGTGGATCCTTGAGCACAGTAATGCATTAGTCCAACAAAAAGTTTTTACAAAGAACACAAAGGCAACGCATATCGGGGCGTTGTCTTGGTGCAAAATTCGCGTGTTGTTGCTCTGCAGATCTGGCATTTTCTTCCAATATCACTAAGCTTTCTCAAGACCTCAATGCAGTACTGCTGTTTTATCGTTTGGCCTTAAGGTACCCATTCAATCTTGATGATAGCATTAATGATAGAACAAAACGATTAGTATGACCGGTCTGGAAATCACAGATCGACCAGAACGTTCATCATCTTCAACAACCTCCCGATCTTCCGAAAATCGTTTGTGCCACTCAAACATTTAGTTATGTGACGTACAGTTGTCTTCAAAAGACTCTTTTAACAATTTGAGAAATTCAGTTGATGTTTTTATTATTATTATTATTATTATTGTTTTACGAAGAATTTCAAATTTATGTGCAGCGTGATTTTTAAGTTTACCATGAGCGCGGCACTTCGACACAACAACGTCTTACTCAAATGAGGATGCATAACAAACTAAATTAGATAGAGGGGTGGGAAAATGTGCCACGAGCACCGGAAGGGTCAAGGTCAAATATATTCTATTCCCACTTCTTCACACCAAGTCTGTGACGGACTCACGCGTCTTTTCTGTAACATGTCTTTTGGGTACTTTTGGGGCCAAGATTAATGGCAACTCTTTTCCAACCAAAACCCAAGAAGTGAAACGTAAAGTTAAAATGCAAATTAGATAGCTTTTAAATAACAGAAGTTTCAATAAGTGAAATGGTAATTTGGGGAATGTTATGTGAGAGATTGATACAATTGTGAAAGGACGGCCAACAGAGGTTATTCCGAAGATAAAGCCATTAGGTCAAGGTGCATACCATTGCACTCGAGTAAAGACGCCACTCCCTAGTATCGGAGGTACGATTGGATTAAGGTAGGATTGACTATTTAATATTAGGACTTGCGTTATTATTGAAATTGAGATTAGGCGGGTTAGATATTGATAGTGGTCCGAGTAAGGTTAGTTCGGTATTACTTGTATTGTGTGTTTATTAATCATAGACTCACACATATATAATTATTATCTAATCTGTTTAAGTTTTAAGTTCTAGTTCTTAATATAAAGCCATATTAAGAGTACGGATAATTCTCATTCTTTAGTTAACCCTACACCTCTATCTCACGTAGATAATCTAAGGTAAATACACCCTAGAGGGGCATTTTCACAAGGTATGTGCAGTCACAGAATTTAATTGTCACGCCTTGTATATTAATTTCAAAACTCGTCTCTTCTTATTAGTCGTAGATATGAATTGTTGTAGGTATGAATCTGACATAAATATCAGTTGGATTAATTAAATTATCCATCTGTTATTAACGTTTCACTTCGAAGCAACATTAGGGTATTGGTGAAAGACCTCCCAATTGGGAACCGTGATCAGTTAACAGGATGGCATGCGACATCTATATTCATCGTTAACTTGTCTGGAAAATGAAATGAGAAAATAAACTGGGGCTAAAAAAAGCATACCACCTGTTTAAAATTCTGTTTAGCCACTATTATTTAAGCCCCAGTTATTCAACTGCGAATTACGTTTACTGATCGAAACCTTCTAGTAAAAATATACCCAGTGATCTAGACTAATTTGTTTACTTTTTGAATTTGGTAGCATTACAAAAATATCATTTCACCTTTTTGCTTTCCTCTCTTCTTGATTCAATTTTGTCTGAATTATCTAATGGAGTAATCAAGTAAATTTTCTTAATTCTATACATCGCAATTGCAAAAATACATACCAATACCAAAATCTTTTTAAGCGTACGAAAAATTACTTACTGCGTGCAAGGGCGGTTAAATCTAACTCAGATTTTAACCCGGTCAAAATTTACTGACCCGAGAAGGAGTGAAACAACTCCTTGCTTTGTCTGCAGGTACAATTTACGGTGAAGACGGTGGTGAGCAGATTCCACACTCTGTATTGTATTAGTTAGGGATTCTGACTGCTGTGCCATACGGTCTGGGTTCGAATCTCGGGGAAAGCACATATGTTTGTAAATGTAACGTGCATTTGTGGCATGGGGATATTTTAAAATAGCGTCGAGCCACATGTCCTCTCGTGAGGTTAGGTGGGAGGCCCTACAGGTAGTTCTCCCGCAAAATTGGAGATGAACCGAGCCAAATCGTGATATCACCTGAATGGTGTTCAAATCTAAGGCTAACGGTAGGCGTACATCTATCCCTTTGCAGCGATTAAGTTAGTAGGCCTCAATCTGTCGCCGTCAGACAGGTGGCATTGGCAACAACAACAAATATAAGGTGTATCGGCTTCTCTGCATGGCGGATCACCAATCAGTACAAAAGTTAAATTTATAAGCAAATGTGATACTCCTAATAACTTTCATAATTTCTATCATGGCGGACAAAACAAATATCAGTATGAATAGCCTATAAGAAGCTAACTAACGATATGATGATGTGGTCATTAATTTAAATTAATTAACCTAACCAAGTTTAAATTATTATCTACTACAAGCAATTTTAAATTAATATACTTAGTTATCTAAATTCTAAAAAAATTTCTCATTACGAAATTCTCTCTTTTAATTATTAAGTAAAGAAATTCTCCACTACATGGCGGATACAAATTGACTAATAATTTTAAAATTATTATTGTTATCATCACAATGATTATCTAATTTCTGTATCAAATTTTAAAGTACATGGAAAACTGAACCCTGAAAAGTACATAAAATGTATTTAATTATCTGTTCATGTTTTTAAAACACAATTATATATTTTCTTAATCATATAATGTGTAAATATTACTTTTAAATTACTAAAAAATTTTAACTTTTATCCTTCTGTATATAACAATATTCACAAATAACGTTTCGAAATTATGTTAAGTTGCACTTACATATTTGTAAGACTGATGCCAAATATGAAAGTATTAGTCGTGTATTTAAAACTTTTGAAAGACTTTTAAAAAATCCCATTGTTAGCACAAAAAAAGAAAGAATTGCATTATACATAAACTCTCAAGTACACAATTTACAAGAACTCTATACTACCAAATGGATCATTTTATTCCATGGAGTACTAACAATCAGATTCGAAATCCCTTCGCTGACTAACATCGCGATTTGAAATAAAATTAAATGTTTGCTTAGCCTCAAGAGTTTATTTTCTCCCCAAAGCTCAAAATTGTTCGCATTCCAGAAGAGAGTCGAAAATTATTTCCTGCAGTAAATTTTACAGCTGCAGTTGTTGCGAGGAATTGCTGAATAAATCCCATTGGCAATTTGTCTGTGGATTGTATTTCCATTTCATTGCAATGGGAAAATATCATTGTTATCTTGACTATTTGATGACTTGCGAGAAGAATCCATTGGCTTAACATTAACTTCTGTATTTTAAAGAGAGAGATTTAACTTTTTTTTTAACTGCAAGATGATAACGTAATAGAATTTGTGTGAATTTAAATATCGTAAGTTTTTGTTATTTTTCTCAAAAGATCAAGCAGAAAAAGTTATTTTATCGCACTGAGTCAGCGCTTCTAAAACTGTGGGGCGCGCCCCCCCCCCTAGGGGGCGTGATAACTCTAGGGGCGGGCAAATTTAAGAATGGTAAACAAAAGATTGTTCAAAAAAGTTATTTATATGTATTGAAAATAAACAAAATACATTCTGACAAAATACAAATTAAAATAAACATTTTCTTTGTTATAATACACTTGTAAATGTTTCAGTATTACACAATGTACTTTATAATTAAATTAAAAAATACTAAGTTAAGAACAAGTTTGATAATTACCAGTGACCCCATGGAATTGTCATATAAAAAAATATATAAAAAAATTAACATTTATCTCCATAATTTGTATGGTTTATAATAAATCCCTTAACTGTCGATTAAAATTTACGTGATTCGCTCCCCAATACCACCGTGTTGCACGTATTCAAGCGTATGTGATGTATTGGGGGGGGAGGGATAAAGGGAATAAATAAGAAAATCTTCTGGTATAAATAAACCCTTTCCAAACACTGTCAATGGCATTTTATTGTATTCCAAAGCCTTCGGAATAATTTTATGGATAGCATTAAAAGAGAAGATCGTATATCGGAAAGACGCAAATATACGTCCGGAGCAATTTACGCACTGGATGAGCGAGACGTTTATATACGCCGGTGGTACTTAAGGTATCCGACTACGTTCGGAACCATGATTTTAAAAAAGCGCATAAATGGATACTTTTCATGATATTTAGTGTCACTTAGATTAGAATACATGTATAAAATTGTTTTAAGGACATTTTGACAGAAAAAATTATTTAAATACAATATTTTGGCAAAAAGTTAGCTTAGAATATTTTTTTTTCCAAATGTTCTCCTTTTGTGAAAAATGCTTCTATTTTAATAATATTTTACCTGTGCATAGCTTAGACCTCTCTACAGAGGCGCAACTAG